GCAGAGAGGCTGACAACTCGATCATGATCCAGACACTTCCCAGCTGGCCTCCCGCACGTCTCTCGTGGCAGTCCATCATGAAATCCGCCGGTCGTGAGCACAACACATCCGTTATCCAAGTCAGCCTCCATCGCCCGTACTGCGGTCCATCGAAGAATTGCCGTCAACTCTTCATATAAATAAGACTCAGCCTCTCTCTAGGCTAACCGCTACAGTGCCCCGTATCCGATGTGCTTTCCAATCACTGCTGGGGAGACTCGGAGGCTGACAACCGCGCTCACCAGAGTCGCTGCCCAGCCTTGAAGGATGACGCCGGACCGCGCCGGCCCGTGTCTTGGTCCGCGATCGAACGCGCTTGTTGTGGCGTGTTTGGTCTAAGTTCGACCATCCGTCCGCGACATGAAGTCGTCGTCGCTGGCTGACCAGACCTAGCGTGCATCTCTTTCCCGTACGACGACCACCTCCCAGACGGCTCCTTCCGCGCTGTGAACAAGCTTTTGGTTTCAAGGCTCAGACCTCTGCAAGAGAAGATAATCGCTGACAATAGGCCGCAAAGTCCCCTGCAAATCTCCTGGTTGTAGACCCGACTATTCTTGCGTGTATGTGCGGTCTCTGGCATCTTCTCAAGGTGTTTAGTCGCTTTATGTACTATGGGATAACAAGGATTACCTCAAAGCCCTCGAACGCAAACAGCCTAGCCACCGCAAGGATCCGGGTTACCACCTTCACACCGAGGCTCGGCTGCTCTACGTTCATCGAAGGCTCCATAACAATATCGCTGTTCTTCTCAAAATCATCCTCCGTTTGAAGGCTCTGACGGTCTGCTTCCCAAGGCCGAATGAACGCATCTTGAAGTGGTGTCGCTACCCTCAAGGATCCCGCCACGGAACCGGGCGGAGTGATGCATCAAGGTCAGCGCATCAAATGAAGACCTCGCCGACCATGGTTGTTGTATTCCAATTTATTACGCATAAATTCGGCTTGCGAAGACCCTATCGCACTTCGGATATGTCAAGATTGCCGCAAAGACGACGCCTGGCGTTTGGGACAAATCCGCCTTACTTTCTACTCATATTCCCCAAAGCCCGCTTGTCAAGCATTAGGTCGCATTCGACAGGAGATTGACAGCTTGCCAGCCGTCACGCGTACTAATGTCTGCGACCGTGTCGGTCTACGATCAAACCCGCAACTTCAGCGTGTTTGCTCTAGAACGACTGTCGGCCGCAGTAAGCATTCGTAGCCGAAAATATTTCTGACGCACTGTCGTTGGTCGTCATTTGCAGAATAAGCCTGCGCGGAATCGACAAGTTCTCCGTCACTCTGTGCACGAGAGATCTTGCATAGTGTGTCCACGCGTCACCTACGTAAATGTATCACAGCGGGCATACCTTTTGACTCAAATGCAACACAACCTCGGGAAGCTATTCGATGTCTCTGGCTCCTCAGCCGCATGCTACAAACTCAACATCATTCTTCGTAATAGAATAAGCTCTAGCCCACACCGGTGTTATCTTACTCTCGGCATCCCGTTATGACGCACAGCATTTTATCGTTGTGGACGGCTTAAACACTTTGAATGGCTACGTTCCCAGAAGAACGTCCATCACTGGTATCAAACACCCCGGAAGCTTAAATCCCTCTCACACTCACACCTTCATTATTCGACCTTCTTAACACGCCATACCGAGCTAGGACGTCCTTGGCAATATTAAGGCTTATCGCTTAGCCCTCGCTCGCCGTACTATGTACTCTAGCTAGGTGCTTCCATCATAGTCGGTTCCCAAACACTCGTATTGTAAGTCGATTTCGACAACAAGGCTGAACTGTGCATCTACCCAACCCCTCTCTTGTCCACATCTACGACAAGTTCGGAAAAAGCACCGTGTATAAGGCCGTTCGGTTTCACCTGGTTCAGTTCATCCATCTATCAAGGAATGTGCATAGTAGCGAGAAAGTCGTAGCGTATGAGAGCAGCTTAGGATATTTGGTTACTATCCTATCCTTCAGTCTCGTGGCGGTAAATGATATCACGAACGTCGGATGAGCGTGGCTTGAATGAGCATCGGAAAGGGACTGGGTGGCTGCAACCTGTGGTGAATACGATGTACGTTGCAAAACCGCAGCGAGACTCACTTGACGACGCCGTCGCCGACAAGAACACTTGACGGCAGGAGAGGCCGCCCTTTGTCGTCCACCGCTGGATTGATATCAAATGCCCAGAGTAACGTACACATATTCGACGTCAGTATCTGCATAGCGAAATCTTTACCAACGCATATTCTGTTACAAGGATAAGCTCAGAGTACTTTGTAGAAAAGCAGTGTACTGTACCTTCTACCGGAGCCGAAACTCAGGTGACCTTGTCCATGCGTGTCAGGCATCAGATGGTTTACCTGCCCTGTTGCATCCAGGTATCGTTCCGGCCGAAATATATCAGGTTCAGGGAAGTATCGCTCGTCCTTGTGCACGGCCCTGGATCGACGGTGAAATGCTGAAAGTCACATGTGGAATTAAATACTTACCAAGTATTTGATATCACAAGCGTGCCTTTTATTCGTTAGATTGACGCTGTAACGAAGGATTGGAGGTTACCTTTCGGAATAAAATAGCCCTTGTATACGTCGTCCTAAACAATCCATCCTTATTTAGATGAACCAAATAGCATATAAGCACGGCGACTCGCCTGAACAGCAGCTCTGGGAAATGAGAGAGGAGTCACAGGTCCCCACCGTAGAGTTTCCATTGCCATCGCCTTGATATATGGTAATTTATCGACATCGATGGAGCTGGGAAGGTGGCAGCGTCCAACTACCGCATCGATTTCCTCTTGCGCACGCCGCATAACGTGAGGATGCAGGACCATCGCCAGGACAAAGACTGACATGACGGACACCGTCTGAGATGTACATCAGCGACGGCCGATACATCTCATGCATCCATCACAGAATTACTGCTTACTGTTTCTACGCCAGCTGCGCTGTAAGAGCCACCATCATAAAGTTCTGAGTATGTGATGTGACGCAATGTGGCTTGTACAATAACTTACAATATTATGCCGGCTAGCCAGGATATTTCTTCAATACTCATGTCGGATTTTGAGTTATTTTCAAGAAGAGAGCCGGCGAAACATGGATCACAGCTGCCAGAACGCTGAAATATGAAAATCAGTCAACGAGCTGCAAACTAACCAGGTTCCGCACGGTATACGAAATACAATTGACGTACCATATTCTGTTCGACCTCCCGAACAAGGCCGCTGAGGAACGTGGTGTTCCCTTCGAACCATTGCTGGCCGTCTCGCTTCCACTTGGCCATCCACGAAGGTAGATGAGCCATCCAAGGTAGTAAATCCACCAGGGAATTCCCGGGCCGAGCAGCGTACTGAATGTTGTCTGCGATGTCTTGCATCCGTTGTTGGATGATTCCAGCGTTCGCATCAACTATGCGCTTTCCATAAACCGATCCAAGCGTAATGGATGTGACAGAGCATTCTATGTGACGCATCCAGTTGTCTGGATCATTGACGATGCGGAGCGCCAGCAAAGCAGAGCCTTTTTCTCGCAGATATTGGTAAGGCACGATATTGCGAGGAGAGAATCCTTCGTGTGCAGCACGTCGATGCCGCCGCCATCTGACAATCGCCGAAAGCATTAACCCGTGTTTGCTGCTAAGGAGCCAATCAAGCCAGGCTTACATGTCATTGTAAGTCACGAATGGAAATGCAACTCCACGCGTCATGATTTCGCTAGCCATGATAAGGCGTGGTCTTCCACTGTACACATTGGAGCGACGGCCTAGCAGTCGACAAAAACTGATCAGTACACTGAGACGCAAACAACAACTCGTGGAGTAATAACCGATGAACTCTGTGATCGTCTCCAAATCGTTGAGGACGATAGCTGGTTGGCCAGCAAGATCAAGAGAAAAGATTGGCCCTACGAGGGGGAAGTCACATGAGGTCGATCTGATAAGAAACACAATTGGAGTTGTAGACTGTACCATAAGACTCCTTCCACTGCATGAATTGGATCCACGGTGAGCCACGTAGTTGAAGGCTGTTTCCGATAACAGGTAGTCCTAGAGGACCTGGGGGCATCCGTTTCCGGATGCTGACGCGTTTGAAGACATATGCCAAGAGTCTGAGCAGGATCAAGAGGCTCAGCGCAATCCATACTTGCGCTGGAGACGTTTGCATGAGGCGAATAGGCTAGACTGGGTTTTACGAACGTTATACGAGAACCTCGGGAGGCGACATGCGTTTTATAACTTCGGGATGGTATTTTAAGTCGGGTGCTTTGAGTGCTTTTCGGCCGGTGCAAGACACACGACCGCATTTTGACAGCCTGAACTTGACATCTCGCTCCATTGCTGCTGTCATAGAACTGACAGCATCAGTGCGCATGAGCTCGGTTCAATGAATAAGTCGTCAGATTCGGTGCAGCAAACAGTGTTCCTCACGAGAAGAAGCATGTCACTTCGCAAACTATGCTGGACTTTGTTTTCAAGAATATATGCATAAATGCATAAAAGGAAAGCTTCTGCCTCATATGGCATCGAAACCTTCGTCATGTAACCCTGAGTTAGCTGGCTTTCACGACGACCATCCGATCAGAACCGGGAAGCGTTTAGTGTCATCTTAGGTCATATCGTGAGCAATGAAGATAGTAATCTTACGTGTAGCGCGGAGATAGTAATCTTGCGTGTAGCGCGAGCTAGTAATTCTCAATCGCTGCGAATGCTGGCAAGCAGATTAAGATGAGGCAAGACCAAGACAGTACTAAGCGTCGAGTATGGAGCGATCGAGCTCGCTGCTCGGCCTATCGTTGACCGGTTGACCACTGACCAGGACCGGCCACTGGTGCTGTGGCATGCTCTGGCTCTACTTCTCATTATTTATTCGCCGCTTTCTTAATCTCGAATGGATCACGTCGCACGATTTCAGTCTTCACTGTTCAGATTCATGAAAAAAATACTGCTCAAATTAGACATACACAAAAAAATGGTTCGAGCCGGGTTCGAACCGGCGACCTCTCGTGAACTCTTGTGAGACGAATGTGATAACCAACTACACCATCGAACCTTCACAACAGGGGTTCCTCATTAAATACATCATAGCAAACCCTCATGGACGCGCGAAAAAGGCTTGTGATAGACGCCAATAAACTTGCAGGGGCGGAACTCATCCAACACTGTTACACTCATCCAGCTTCACCCATCATCCGACCGTCAACAATGCCAGCGGAAATTCACGACCAGTTTGATACAATCCTTATTCTGGACTTTGGTTCTCAAGTAAGTTTCCTCCCTCCCGATGAGATTCATACTGAACACTCATATTGCAGTATAGTCATCTTATTACCCGCAGATGCCGTGAATTGAACGTCTATGCGGAGTTAATGCCATGCACGCAAAAACTGAAAGATCTTCGTTTCAAACCAAAAGGTCCGCATATAGCTGGGTCTCCTTACGTTTCTGACTCATTGACGGACTATAACACATTTTTGTAGGAGTCATTCTATCTGGATCTCCATATTCTGTCTACGACCAAGACGCTCCGCATGTAGACCCGACAGTGTTTGAGCTCGGTGTACCGGTCCTTGGAATATGCTATGGCCTCCAGGTCTGTTCCTAGCTCCCCAGTTGACTCGATATACTGACCGTTTTCTAACGATACCTGTGAGCAGGAAATGGCCTGGACGATGAAGGGCAAAGTCACTAAATGCGACCACCGCGAATATGGATTTGCTCAGCTACAAGTGTCTTCAAATGGAAATAGCTCCGCGGACGCGCTTTTTGAGACGCTAGGGGAGGAAATGCAGGTAATTGCGCGCTTTATACTGTACTTCATCGTGATTTATACAGTCTCCGTCTGTAGGTGTGGATGTCTCACGGGGACCAACTGTCAGCGATTCCTCCGGATTTCCATGTCATTGGGCGTACTTCCACTGCCCCCTTCGCTGCTATCGCCCACAACTCGAAACCGTTCTACGGCATCCAATTCCATCCTGAAGTCACCCACTCGCCTCGTGGACGCGAAGTCATCGGCCGCTTTGTCCTCAACATATGTGGCTGCAAGGCGAACTGGACAATGGAAGAGTTCATCGGCAAGGAGATTCTCCGGATACGACAGATCTGTGGCGAGAAGGGTCGTGTAATTGGTGCCGTCAGCGGAGGCGTGGATAGCAGCGTTGCCGCAAAGCTCATGCACGAAGCAATCGGCGACCGGTATGTCTATTCATGGTAACTTGCATACGAGACAGGTATTCACGTGGAGGAATCACAGATTCCATGCCATCATGGTGGACAACGGCGTACTTAGGCTCGACGAGGCGAAGCAGGTCCACGAGATGCTTAACCGCGACCTCGGTGTCAATTTGACGGTCGTAGACGCATCAGATCTGTTCCTTTCACGTCTTGCAGGCGTGGAAGATCCGGAGCAGAAGCGCAAGATCATTGGCAACACGTTCATCAACGTCTTCGAAGAGCAAGCCGCCAAGATCGAGGCTGAAGCCGAGTCTGAAGACGCAAGTAAGCCGGATGTAGAGAGAAAGGGCCGTGTAGAGTGGCTCCTTCAGGGGACCTTGTACCCTGATGTCATCGAGAGCATCAGCTTCAAAGGTCCCTCCGCTACGATCAAAACGCACCACAACGTCGGTGGCCTACTCAAGGACATGAAACTCAAGCTCATCGAGCCTCTTAGAGAGCTTTTCAAGGGTATGTGAACCTCCTCGCCCTCCAACTGTACTGACATCTGACTCGTGCAGATGAGGTCCGTGCTCTCGGACGTTTACTCTCGATACCCGCCCATCTCGTGCAACGCCATCCCTTCCCCGGCCCGGGTCTCGCGATTCGTATTCTTGGACCTGTGACGCGCGAACAAGTGCGCATTCTGCAGCACGCGGATAGCATCTACATCGAGGAGATTCGTCGCGCCAATCTGTACGAGCAGATAAGCCAAGCGTTCGCCGTACTACTTCCCGTCCGCGCCGTCGGCGTCCAAGGCGATAAGCGCACATACGAACAAGTCATTGCCCTGCGTGCAGTTCAAAGCGAAGACTTTATGACAGCCGACTGGTTTGTGTTTCCGCCCGAGGTCTTGAGGAAGATTTCGTCGCGGATTACGAATGAAGTCGAGGGTATCAACCGCGTCACGTATGATATCTCGTCGAAACCACCCGCGGTACGCATGGCTCCATTTGGCTTCTAGTCTATGAGCTGACTGCAGCCTTATCAGACTGTGGAATGGCTTTAGCTGCCGGTCTTTACAAAATGGAAGGTCATATCTTTACTAGGGTTTTGACGCTATACTATCGTTTTGTTATGCGGTATAGTACACTTGCGATGGCTTTCCTGTTCGTGAATATAACATCTCGCTAACAATGAGCTCTCACCGAGTCAGAGAAAACAACTTGCGCTCCACGAAGACTGCGTGGACACCGCTAAGTGTTCTCGGATTTGGGGCTTCTCCCTCGCCGAAGCACGGACTTCGATACCCTAGCAAAGAGGTATAGGTACCGCAATGCTTCTGACGCCCACGGTACGTGATCTTAAGTTCGTGATAGCTTTACTGAAGTCTATCACTGCAGCGTGAGTCAAAGGACCCCAAATCATGGCACGACCGGAGTCTAGTGAAGTTTGTCACAGATTGAGTGGCACATTACTTATCCATTATCCTCACAAGACAGCGATTATGCTTTGATAACATACGTTGTGCATCGGCCAAGTGAGTGGTCATTTTTCTGGCATCATGTGTTGAGTCTCACATGCCTTGAGATCTGGAGTGGATTGCATCCGCAATTGAAATCGGTCTTTGAACCTTTTTCTGTGAGAATGCGTACCTGAGTTTTAAAGAATACTCGATGAAGACAACAATACTGGTTATCCGCGGTATCCTTTTGACAACGATCAGTTGCGCTATCATTGTGTGCTGCAAAAGAGGTCGGACGTTGTGAGTCAAGATTATGTTGCTTCGCTTATCGACCATCCTCTAATATGCTCGAAGTGCTGTTACAGTTGTGCTTGGCAAAAGATATATGCATCTCCAACATTCAGCGCTAGTAGACAGTACAATCCGCTTCGGCAGACTGGATAAGAACCTCGAACTTAGCCCGAACGCTGAGAAAACACATCAGGTGCACGACTGGGCATGATATAAAAACACGTCAAGAGATTCGACCTATGTTAGCTAAACTATATCGACCACCCCACTTCTGTCATGTCGCCCTCGCCAGCCTCCACAGTTGCAGCACTGTTCGCCGCAACAGTTCTATACGTTCTATTCAAGGTACTCAGGTTCAGACGCATGAGAGCATTGATGCCTCCAGGACCTCCCGGTTTACCTGTCCTCGGCAACGTACTTCAAGTGCCTAAGGAACAAGCGTTCCGCCAGTTCGCAGATTGGGGTAACACTTACGGTATAGACATATGTTAATATATATTTCCGACCGTATGCTCATAAAACCGCCTATGACAGGCCCTATCATATCGCTTGACATGGCTGGACAGCCTGTCGTAGTAGTCAACTCGCTCAAGGTTGCAACTGATCTTTTCGGTACGCGCTATCACACAATACTGTATTTCTGACCTTCCTGGTGCACCGCTTGAAAAGATCGACGCTCTGCCATCTACAGCAGCCGGCCGCGGCTCATCATGCCTGTCGAGCTTTTCATGGGAGGGAATAACATGTCACTCATACCTTATGGAAATCGGTTGATATCTCTTCTCGACTGTATGATAGATCACTACTGATACATCATTCTCAGATGGCGAAAGCAACGACGCGCAGTGCATGAAGCCATGAACATACGCGATGTTAGCGCTTATAATCCCACCTTGGAGAAAGCGGCCGTAGATCTAGTTTCGCAACTGCTGAATGATAAATCAGGTGACTGGCGACAACTCTGCAACAGGTCATCCCGTTCGTTCTTTCTCGAAACAGGCTCTGAACAACTCATACAGGGCGATAGCTGCCGGCGTTACTTCTATAGTATATGGCAATATCCTGGCTAACAAGAATCTGGACGAATTCTTGGAACAGGTCTTCGAGGTGGTGCACCGACTGTCTAACGCGGCTGGGAAAGATAGATACATGGTTGAGTATATCCCCTCAATGCTCCTCCTACCCGACTGGATGGCGAAGTTCAAGAGAGATGCGGCAGCATTCTTTCAACGATTCACGGCTCTCTTTGAAGGACTCTATGAGGATGCTCGGCTAAGCATGGTAAGATTCACAGCTACAAAGTCTTCACCGGTAGCTTCACTCACTAGATCTATGTCATCAGCACGAAGGCGACAATGAGTTGTCGTTCTGCTGTCACCTAATGAGGAATGAGCATAGACTAGGGCTTAGCACCCGCGATTCTGCATGGCTCGCAGCCGTATTGATGTATGTGTATATTATTTCCTTTTTTTTGGAAGCTCGCCATTTATCTTGAGCCACAGATTGGCCGGTGTAGATACGGTCGGTCATTTCGGACCCTCTTACTAATTGATAGGAAGTACTTAGACGACAATCAGTCGACAGCAGTATTTGCGGTATTTTTCCTTGTCATGTTGAGGAATCCAGACGTAATGCGTCGGGCCCAAGCAGAGATCGATGCAGTTGTTGGACGGGATCGTTTACCCACATTGGACGATCTGGACCGGCTTCCGTACATATACGCCACCATACACGAACTATTGCGGTGGTGGCCAGTAGCACCATTGAGTAAGCATTTGTTCATTCTATCTCAGAGAAGCAGTGCTGAACTTAACAATCCAGGTCTTCCACATAGTATCATGGAGGTATGCCTTCTAATGAAATATCCCGATCAATACTAATATCTGCTGGTATAGGACGACTGGTATGACGGTTACTTTATTCCGAAGGGTGAGTTTTAATCGTTCAACGTATGTCTTCCTGTTTACTGTCTTCAAGGTACGACTGTTCTGCAGAATCTCTGGTGAGTGATTAGCCAACTAAATTACAGCATACTGAACGTAGTATCAGGGCCATCGGACGAGATCCGGAGGATTTTCCTGAACCCGATCGTTTTAAGCCGGAACGATTCCTCCACGAAGATAGTGATGGTTCAATGCATG